GTCTTTCAAATGATCTCCGCATGCTACTGGACAATGAATGTGACATACTCACCGCAACAGCTATCAGTAAATGAGGCGGTCCGCAGTTGAAGAAGGAGAAAACACATAATTTTTTCTTTAAAAAAGCACTTAAATACATCTATCTGCTCCTAATGAAGCCCAAGTTCTAATAATCCAAAATTGATGTAAAAGCCGTTTCAAACGAGCTGTCGCCATCTTGTTTCACTCTGTTGCATCATCCCACCCACCAGGCATACAGAGTGCCCTGATTGGCCCACAAAGCGGATAAAGCTCTGTGATTTGTTCACTAAGCAGATAGAGCACTATGATTGGCCCACCATTATGGACCAATCACAGCTCTTTGTGTTTGAAACCCCTCTAGAGAGCTGTGATTGGCCAGCCAGAATGCTGCTGGGGGCTGCAGAGGTTCCAGTGGAGCATTCCTAGACCAAACTTTGCAAAGCAAGAATTTGGTCTAGTTCACTAGGCTAACTGGAACCAGTTTGAAAGCAAAAGTGTTAAAAACTCTCCAGTGTGGCTTTGATGTTTGGAGACCGCTGCCACTATCAGACCACCTTAGCACTGGCTATCACCCAGCTGAGTTATGCAGATATGAAGAAGAAGAAGAAAATATCATTTCTATAGCGCCTCAAGATAAAAATCACGAGGCGCTTCACAAAAACAAAAAATGTAAAAATATAAAAAAGCATTTAGAAAATGTTTAAAAATATTTAAAATGAGCAAAAACGGCCAATTGTGATTAAAAAAATGTTAAGAAAGAGAGAGAGTGAACAGGAAAGAGGGAAATCAGTAGATCCTGAGGAAGGTGGAATAGGTGGGAGAGCAGAATAAAGAGAGAGTGGTGAAGAAGGTCATACAAAAGCCAGCTTGAACAAGTGAGTCTTCAGCTGCTTTTTAAAGGAGACCACTGAGTCCACTGATCTCAGGCTCAGGGGGAGAGAGTTCCAGAGTCTGGGGGCCACAGCAGCAAATGATCTGTCACCTTTGGTCTTTAGCCTGGTGCGCTGCACAACCAGTAGGCTTTGATCACTGGACCTCAGGGACCTGCTGGGGGTGTAGGGACTAAAAAGATCACCAATGTAAGATGGTGCTTGTCCATGTAAGGCCCTATAGACCAGAACCAAGATCTTGAAATGATCCTAGCAGCCAGTGAAGCTGGAGGAGAAGCGGGGTGATGTGGGTGTGTTTGGAGGACTTGGTCAGAAGCCGAACACAGGCATTCTGAACCACCTGTAGACAGTTCAGGGAGGTTCTGCTCAGACACGTGAAAAGAGAGTTACAGTAGTCTAAGCGTGAGGAGATGAAGGTGTGGATAGCTGTCTCAAGTTCAGAGCAGGACAGAATGGGACTCAGCTTAGCAATGTTCCTGAGATGGAAGAAGGAAGAGCGAACAAGAGAACTGACATGAGAATCCAGGGTGAGAGCTGGGTCAAAGGTCATGCCAAGATTTCTGACAGAAGGTTTGGTGTGAGAAGCAAGCTGACCAAGAGAGTCTCTGACTTCGGGAACCAGCTTGTCTGGGGCACAGATGAGGATCTCAGTCTTATCTTCATTCAGCTGAAGAAAGCTCCCAGCCATCCAGGTTTTGATAGAGTCTAAGCAGGTGTGTAACAGCTGCAACTTAGACATCTCATGGGGCTTAAAGGAGATGTACAGTTGGATGTCATCTGCATAAAGATGGTTGGAGATTCCTTTGAAGGAGCTCAGAATGTGCTGAAGAGGAAGCAGATAGAGGAGGAAGAGCAGAGGCTCCAGCACAGAACCTTGTGGGACACCATGGGTAAGAGAGGTGGTGGAGGACCTAAACGTGGAGACGGCCACAGAAAAGGAGCGCTCTGAGAGATGAGAGGAGAACCACTCCAGAGCAGATCCTGATAGGCCTACCCAGTCTCTCAGCCTCTCCAGTAGCAGGTGATGGTCAACAGTGTCAAAGGCTGCAGTCAGGTCCAGCAGGACCAGACCAGAACAGTCCCCTGCATCACTGTGAGTCAGAAGGTCATTTGAGACCCTAAGAAGAGCTGTTTCAGTAGAATGAGCTCTACGATGAGCTAAAATGTGCACAAATTGAAATTGTCTTCTGTGCTTTTTATAGCTGGCTTTCTATCCTAAATGTAAAATGTCTACTGAAGTCACAGTTGTGTTTACAGAACTGAGTAGTTGTGATCTGCAGTGAAAATGAAGCGCCTCCATCCGAGAACAGTTTATCACCAAAACACCATGAGGTTTACATGGAGGGGTGGAGCCTGACTTTAACTTTCAGCTGTTTCCTGTTTGTTCTGATGTACATCCTGTCGTAGGTTCAGAGTCGTTATTGACTCGCTGCAGCTGATATCTTCAGCTTCTAAATCGGTGTTTTTCAGGCTTTATTCAACAAAATCTGCTCGAGTAGAAATCAGTGCAACATTTTCTCTATTGTTCCCCAGTTTGGGCTTTCAGGGTAACAATAAAAGCCTTTTCCTTTGTGATCTATCTAATACAGACTGATGAGAACATTTAAACCAAGCAGAGGTCCGACCGGACAGGTTCAGAGAAAACGAGGACAGAGACTGAAGAGAAAAGGACAAAATGTGATGGGCGGCTCTGGCAGCTAGTTCTGTTCCTGGGCTACACAGGAATGTAACACACACACACTGACGTGTACACACAGGAAGCACATAAACAGTGCGGGGGTGGGGGGTCTGGGCTCAGAGACTTAAAGGTACAAGCCACGGCGATGGACACAGAAGGTCCATGTCCTCTGTGTTTTCACGGCGCTACGTGGGTCTGATGGGCAGTCTGTCTGAGAAACAGTCGGCTCAGAAGACTGCTCCTCTGGGACAAATCGTCTCCCGCCATCTGTTGCTCTCTTGTCCTGCACAGAGGACAGATTTGTTGCATAACATTGTGGCCACATGTGGTTTATTACAAGGAGAATCTGTTAAGATCATATTGGAGAATAAGGCATGCACACGTTCCATCGGATGCAGTCCTGTCCAAAGTGCGGCCCGGTGGCTGTCTGCGGCCTTCTGAATTCTTTTTTGTTGCCCCTGCTTGCTTTTCTAGTCTGTTGGAAATTTGTCTCCAACAGCCTTTAGATCTAGTTCAGATCTTTTTATGGGTAATATTAAATTTTACTGATCTGAGGCCATTTTTGAGCAGTAGAAATAAAAAAAAACGCACCATAAATTCATTGAAGCAGGTCTTTGGGGACTTTGAATTTGACTAGTTTGGGCCTTTTCCTGTCACCCCAGATCTAGAGTATCATTTGGCCTAAATAATTTAGCCCGTAAGCATGTTTTAGATGTTTTCTAACCTGTAATCACAGGTCTCTGTTCCCGCTATACATGCTGGGATATCACCTGTAGTAGGTGGGGGGCTGGGACAGGCAGCAGGAGCGCTGGTGTCACACAGCATGGCCGAGGTCTGCGTTGACATATCGGGACAGTGAGGTCATAAAGCCATCGGAGAGGATTTCCTCCTCTAGGTGTGGTCACGTAGTTCATGCTGTTTGTCTTGTTTTCTGGTGTTTTTTTGTTAACCACCATGACAAAAACATGTAGTTCATGGAGCTGAAGGCAGCTCTGGTGTTTCAGTCTGCAAATATGTCCTCAAAAATGTATGAAGACAACAGAATACATGCATATCAACATGGAGCAGTAAATTCTGTGAGTACTGTGTAATGTGTTATTTCTTATTGGTGTATAATTAAATTCAGAGGGGATAAAACAGCCACCGCCTGCATGTGGAGACCTTGTTCTAAGCTGGTTTTAACTCTGTCTGTTGAGGGAGCTCTTACTGAGCCTGGTTGATCTTTATGCAGATAAACATTTGTGCTTCTGCTCATTCAGGTGTCATTTAAAGGGGCATTATGGAAGTTTGACAGTCAAAACATGTATAGAAATAATAAATGTCTTCATACATTCTCCTGCAATGCCCTGGTCCTGTAGAATGAGCCCTGGCATTTTTACTGTGATTGCCTGTTTTTCTGTAAAATCACAGAAAAAGAGAGCTGCTCGGGTCGAGCAGGCTGCTTCATGCGCGTTCACGCTCAGGCATAGCCCGTAGCATTTGCTATCAGTAGCTTTAGCAGCAGAGAGTGAGGTAATGCCAACTCAGCGACTTTGTCGCTGTTCCTAACGCCTAGTGATGAACCTAGCTACATTTCTCAGCACCCTTAGCTACTTTCTTCTAGATATTTCCTGCAAATTAGCAACAAAATAGCCATTTTCGCTCCGAACTGTTCTTTGGTTTGACGTTGTTTCAGCTGTCATCAAGGATATAAAAGTTACAGATACAAAGGATGTCACTGGCGCTTTAGCTCACCTAATAAGACGTCGGACTCTCGTGCAGAAGACCTGGGTTCAATTCTGGGTGTGAACATAGTTCATTTAGAGTTTTTTTTTTTTTACATTAATGGTGTATTTTTTTACAGTAAGATGCCCAAATTTTTATTTGAGACTCGCCGTACGGCATTGAATTCACAGATGAAAAAGATGTGGGTTCAACTTTCATTTTGGAACAATTCTTCAAGCAAGGGAAGGGAATGATCTGAGCATGCAGGAGGACTGACCCATCATAAACCTTTGTCGGCTGTGCTGAAGAGAGAGGTACAGAACCAAATTATTTAATTAATTAGTTGCGTGTTCTCCTGTCCTCCGGGCCACACACACACACACACACACACACACACACACACACACACGACTGTCTCAGCTGTTATTTTCGTTAAGGAGTGTGCACGTACAGCATGCGCGCTTCGTGCACGAGCCTACTATTGAAGCTGCCGTTACGCTTTTGGCCTGAGGGGGCAATCGCGAGCATAAAAATTCTAAACTCCGTAAAGTCCCTTTAAGTAAAATATTGCCGTATTTGATCACCTTTAATTGTTTTTGTCCGAGTGATTACATCTAAATAAATCACCTGCGTTGTGATCATTGACCTCATTGATGGTTCTGTTAGCTTTGTTGTGTTTAGGACTTCAGCATGTTTGTGTTTTTTAGGAAATGGCGGTGCGAGCGCTGAAGCAGACGGGCAGCAGGAATATTGAAGCAGCGTTGGAGTACATCAGTAAAATGGGCTACCTTGACCCTCACAACGAGCTCATTGTTCGTGTCATTAAACAGACGTCGCCGGGTATGAACACCCAGCTGGTGGCTTATTATTTACAGCTTTTACTGGATGATGAGAAGACGTTTTTGTTGAGCATGACATCTGTGACCTCCTTCCATGTTGCAGGTAAAGCAGGGATGCAAAACACAATGGACCATCGGCCCACCTTAGAGGTTCCAGGTGAGGCAGGTGCCATGCCTCCTTATCACCAGATGGGGGCTTCCATGTATGACGGGGTTGCAGGTTATGGACCTGAGGGGGAGATGACCAGGCCTTACATGGGTGCCCCCCCTGTTATGAACTACATGATGCCCCCTTCCAGTGCAGCTCAGGGTGCTGCAATAGGGAATCCAATGGGTCGGCCCCCTAGCATGGGCAGCTATCCGCCTGTGATGCCTACCCAAGGCAACCCGGGTAGCACCATGTACCCCCCAGGGGCTCAGCAGAAGGGCTACCCTGGCAGCATGGAGCAGCACGGGCCCATGATGAGCTACAACGTCCCGGGCCAGCCTTTGCAGCTCCAGCCACAGCCACCAGGGGGCCCTGTTCCAGGGCCACACTATGATTATGGCCATCCCAGGCAGCACATGATGGAGCCTGCAGGCTACGGAGTCAAGAGGACTCCTTCTTTCCAGAACAAGATGCAGCCACCACCTATGGCCCCTCCAGACAACTACATCAACATGCAGGGGAAAGGGGGAATGGTTCAGAATGGGCCGGGGGGAGGAGCAGGTGGATACCCCACTAACATGTACCTTTCTCCTCACTCCCACCCCCGACAAGCCAGCCCCACATCCCACCCGGTCCATATGATGTCCCGCTCCCCGGGCGGAGTGGCAGCTTTGGGCCCCGACTTCTCAGATCTGGCCCAGATGACCCCCTCCAGGGCCAGCCTCAACCTAGACCTGTATGACCATCATTGGGGGGGGCCTCCAGTTCCTGAAGGGGCCCCTCCATCCAGGCAAGCCCAGCCCCAGGGCCCGTTTCGGGGGGAAGTACGTGTGCCCAGCAGGACTAACTCCTTCAACAGTCGTTCTGCAGGTCCAAACGCTGTCCGACCCACGATGGCTGCACCCCCCACTGCTGGGAAACAGGACTCCTCACTGGGCCCTCCAAACACCATCACAGCTGTAACCTCCCCACCTATCCAGCAGCCAGTCAAGAGCATCCGTGTAATGAGACCAGAGCCCAAGACTGCAGTGGGACCGTGCCACCCTGCCTGGATGACTGCTCAAGCCCAGGATGCAGCAGAACCTCTGACCTACATGCCGGAGGAGACCTACCCACTAGATCCTGTACAAGAGCCACGCTGTCCTCCTCCACCTTACCCGAAAAATCTGCTCATGTCTGGAGCAGCTGGAGAGCCTGGGGTCCTGGAGGGAGCAGGTGCACCAGACCCGAGCAATCCCGCTACCAGAAGCACACACAGTGGCAGCGGGGGGAGTGGAAAGGCCGAAGACGGCCAGCAGCTCAAAGAGAAGACAAAGGTCAGCAAGGGAGAGAAGACGGTGAAGGACAAGAAGCAGATCCAGACGTCCCCTGTGCCTGTCAGAAAGAACGGACGGAACGAAGAAAAGAGGGAGTCTCGCATCAAATCCTACTCCCCCTTCGCCTTCAAATTCTACATGGAGCAGCACATAGAGAACGTGATGAAGACCTACCAGCAGAAGCTCAACCGCAGGCTTCAGCTGGAGCAAGAGATGTCCAAGGTAAGATAACAGAGCTTACTGCTCATTTAAAACCAGTTCAGTCGTGTTTTTGGCACAAAATGACAAACCCAGGTCAGACCACTGGCTTCAGCTTGACCCTCCTCTTCTCTGCCCAGGCTGGCCTGTCGGAGGCAGAGCAGGAGCAGATGAGGAAGATGCTGAACCAGAAAGAGTCCAACTACAACAGGCTGCGCCGTGCCAAGATGGACAAGTCCATGTTTGTCAAAATCAAGACTCTGGGTATTGGTGCTTTTGGTGAAGTGTGCCTCACGCGTAAAGTAGACACATGCGCACTTTATGCCATGAAAACACTGCGCAAGAAAGATGTCCTCAATCGCAACCAGGTGATTTATTATGCATTTACTCTATTACTGATGAATTAGTGATTGGTGAGCATCAATCAGAGAAGTCCTAACGAGTGTTTCTGGTGCAGGTGGCCCATGTGAAAGCAGAGCGCGACATCCTGGCAGAGGCAGATAACGAGTGGGTGGTGCGTCTCTACTACTCATTCCAGGACAGAGACAGCCTCTACTTTGTGATGGACTACATCCCCGGAGGAGACATGATGAGTCTGCTCATCCGGATGGGGGTCTTCCCTGAGCCTCTGGCACGCTTCTATGTGGCCGAGCTGACGCTGGCCATCGAGAGCGTCCACAAGATGGGCTTCATCCACCGCGACATCAAGCCGGACAACATCCTCATCGACCTGGACGGGCACATCAAGCTGACTGATTTTGGTCTCTGCACAGGCTTCCGCTGGACACACAACTCCAAGTACTACCAGAAAGGTCAGGCAGGCAGTGAGAACGTGAGATTTGGTTTTGTTTAAACGAGCACGCAGGGACAACGAAGCTACAGAGTCTAGACGGGCTTCTGCTGCTGAGTTTGTGTCTGAACCAGATGATGCTGAATGGTTGTTTCTACTCTTTTGTCCTCAAGGGAGTCACGTAAGGCAGGACAGCATGGAGCCCAGTGACTTTTGGGATGACGTCTCCAACTGTCGCTGCGGCGACCGGCTGATGACCCTGGAGCAGCACTCCAACCGCCTTCATCAGCGCTGCCTGGCTCACTCGCTGGTGGGAACGCCTAATTACATCGCACCCGAGGTTCTGCTGCGCAAAGGTCAGTCTGAAGGATGATGGCTGCCGAGGCAGGAAGGACCCGTTTAACATAAGGCCATCATGTCCCCACTAGGGTTGTCACGGTGGGACAATTTCACCTCACGGTTATTGTGACCACAATTATCACGGTTTTCGGTATTAAGGCGGTATTTTTTTTAAACGTGTTACATTTTCAGACAACTAAACAAACCCTGTACATCGGGAAAATATTGTCCTCGGTTTGTGTCCTTCCAGTGAGCTTTGTAGATGTGGGAAAATGTCATCAGGCAGTAATCATTGTTAAATTCTTGATTATTCTCGGAGAGAGACCAACTCTTATCTGCCCCTGGGAGCCCCGTAATGCGTAGCGTCATTTCAACATGGGGGTGTCCGCGACACGGTTTATATGCAGGTAGCGGCGCAGCGGCTGCTTTATATAGCGACTCGTTGCATTCTCCCTCAACCCAAATCTTCGGATCACGCATTTTAGCTAAAACGTTAGCTTGCCTTGTGTTGACTGTAGAGTTGTGGGTGATGGTCACGCAGATGTGTCATGAGATGTGAAGCGTTGCTGCCTTTCACAGACACTTTTTCTGCACGTGCTGCAAACAGGATAGCCGTCTTCTATCAGCTGTCCCTCGGCATTCTTCAAATATCCAAAATATGCCCGTACTTCCCCCTTTGTCTTCTTTGAGGGATAATAAATGCCCTGAGTGCTGCTGTCTCCTCCTTTGGCCATTATTTCAGCTTTAGCTTCAAGAAAGTTTTGGTTGTAAACAACAAAGTGCGCATGTGCCGCCGGCAACTTCAGCAGATGATACGGTGGCTGGTAAGGGTCACCGCGCTGACACCGCAGCCACGGTAATCCACCGAGATAATATATGTTTTTAAAAACAAGACGGTTTTTATTATTGTCAACTTTTTTACCGGGGTTTACCGCTACACCGGTTACCGTGACAACCCTAGCCCCCACTGGTTGGAACATGATACCAAGTCCTGGTTTATTCAGTCATTTAGTGACAGGATAAGAAAAGAAGTGATCTTTATGGTCTTGGGTGTCCTTTTTTTTTTTGTGTGTGTGTGTGTGTGTGTGTGTGTAGGTTACACTCAGTTGTGTGACTGGTGGAGTGTGGGAGTGATCCTTTTTGAGATGTTGGTGGGACAGCCGCCCTTCCTCGCTTCAACGCCTACAGAGACTCAGATTAAGGTTGGTAGAAAAAGGAAATACATCTTTTTTATTCTCTCCATGTAATAATCTGATTATTGAGGTCATATCCATGTCAGTAAGTGATGGTAGGAATTGAGAGATCTGCTAATCGCTAGACCAAGGTAATGTAGCAACCCTCAGCATCTGCTGCTGTCTTCATGGGTGTTTGTCAGCAAACCTGGAACCAGCTGTATGGATCTGTAGTTTAACGTTTGTGTATGTGCTGTTGATGCAGCCAGCCCTAAACCTAGTTTTGTCTAACTAACCAAGACGGTTTAATTGCACTTTTAAAGGAAACCACGTTTGACAGTAGTTCCTGGTAAAGTGTTCAGGATATCTCCTTCGGTTCCCTCCCAGTGGTGTGCTTTTGTCTCATTGAGGATGAAATGTTTAAACATTTTAACTCGACGTGTGTTCCGGACTTGTCTTTGCAGGTCATAAACTGGGAAAGCACACTACAGGTGCCTCCGCAGGTCAAACTGAGCCCAGAGGCTGTGGACATCATCGGTCACCTCTGCTGTTCTGCAGAAGACCGCCTGGGTGCCAACGGTGCCGGAGAGATAAAGGCCCACCCCTTCTTTGCTGAGGTGGATTTCTCCAGCAATTTGCGGCAGCAACTGGCACCTTACCGTCCCAAGATCGCCCACCCGATGGACACGTCTAACTTTGACCCGGTGGAGGAGGAAGGAGGCCCAGGAGCATGGAGTGACAGCGGGGACAGCACCCGAGCCTTGGACGTACTGTGTTCGCCACACGGAAAGCACCCGGAGCACGCCTTCTACGAATTCACCTTCCGCAGGTTCTTTGATGACAATGGCTGCCCCTTCCGCTACCCGAAACCCCTCGAGGCTCACGAGGTGTCACCAGGCTTCAGCGGAGCAGCCAGCTTGGGCCCAGAGGAGGAGGACAAGGAGGGTCTGGAGGAGGAGGAGGAGGAAGATGATGAGGAGGAGGAGGAGGGAGAGCAAGGGGAGGGATGTGAGCCAGTGTATGTTTAGAGCTTTACCGCAACAGGTTGTATCTAACACTGCTCCTCCCCCTCCTCTCGTGTGTGTGTGTGTGTGTGTGTGTGTGTGTGTGTGTGTGTGTGTGTGTGTGTGTGTGTGTGTGTGTGTGTGTGTGTGTGTGTGTGTGTGTGTGTGTGTGTGTCACACACACCTGGGTTGTGGAATTATAAAGGAGCAGGATGGATGACATCACCACCGTGTGGAGTATGTAGTGCACTCCTCATGGATAACTTGACTCTTGTGATCCGGGACCAAGAAGCGACCTTTTGCATGTGACCAACTGGGAGAGGAGGCTGATCCAGAATCAGTTGGCTAACGATGCTGGAGCTGCACGGATGTCTGGGTTTAGTGTGAGGACCGGCTCTGGTTCCTCCAGCAGTTTCTCGTCTCATTCCTTCCAGCTGTGGGTCTTACGGGTGAATGAAACCCCTCCTCAGCGACCTGGACCAGGAGCTACTTCCTGTTCTGTCTGAGCTGCTTTACTTTTTTAGGATGGCACACAGCAGTAGGAGGAGTGGAACCAGTTTACCTGTTAGTTGTGCCTCTTTCACAGCTACTGCAAAATAAGCTAAAGATACATAAGCACACATGCCTGCCTAAACGGTGTCGTCCGTGCTGAGTGAGGAAAGGCAGTTAGATTTCATGCTGGTTTCTGGTGTCTGTTACACACACTTAATTCACTTTCTCAGTGCTGACTTTGGATTTGGCTAAGAAAAAGAGACAGACTTTATACGTGCTGGAAATCAGCAGTTTCCTGACGGATCAGTGCTTTGTAACATCACAACATTTATGCTTCTCTCCTAAATAATCCATTTTGTTTACTTTGTGATCTTTATTCTCTCAAAGTTAAAGAACTGAGAACTCAAGGAATGGGAGCCAGAGCTGTGCAGGCCTGAGCCTGTTGGGGTGGATGATGCTTCAGATTGAAATCTAATCACACACACACACACATATGCAATTTTTCACCAAGATGCACAATTGTACAGCTACTTTGCAAAGATCAGTCCTGCAGCTGCAGCTTCACCTATTTCCTGTACAGAGGCAGTAGGAACTTGTCCTTACAGCAGCCAAACGTGACGGTTTCACTAAGTGCAATACAAAAACTACATTATGTGTGTATAGAGTTCTAAACACATTTTATCCCTTTGAACGTTTAGACCTGAACTGTATATTTATGGTTTATGTGTGTGTGTTAAACTTCAGTTACACCATGCTGCTTGATATTGTGGTTAATATTATTTACATATTGCTATTGGCTGCATTCTTTTGTTGTTGTGGTCTAAAGAAATGTTGGCTGAAGTGTGTTTGTGTGCCTTTCTAAGTGAGCCTTGTGTGTTACGAAGGAGACGACTGATGATGATGTGAGGTGGGTTCCTGGTCCTCTGCAGCTGGGCGGGCCCTGACTGTTGAGGACAGGATATGTCTGGTTTTTGAGAGAGAGAGAGAGAGAGGATGGCTTCTAGATATGTTAATGGGACATGAAAAGCTTAATCTAATATACAAAGCTTCTAAAAGTGGTGCATTCTCTTTTATTTATCCAAAATGACCGCTAATTAGTTTTGGGTCTATTTTTGCTAGAGGTGTGCCATGCTCTGTGTCTGAGCGCCTCTGCAGACGATGCTTACATCTGTTCATTTTTATGCTTCTTGACAATCAAACAGTAACCTTTTTTTTTGTTTTGTTTTTTTATGAAACAATATCCAACTGTTTCAGCAGTATTCTGAATTTCACTTGTGGGTTATTAAAGCAAGTCAGTTCTCTGGGTGATGTGTGGTTTTGCTTGACAATGTTTTATTTTTTATAAATGTGTGTTTTCTATCATGCAGCACAATCTTAAAAGATGCTTTTCTTATTTCTATCCCTTTTCCACAGACCTCTTCCTTTTATCTGATGCGAGGAGGCTGACGGAGCATGCTCAATGTTTCATTCACTCGCTGTTTACATACAACACTCATTCCTCTTGTTCTCCTTGGTGACTATTTAGTCAGCAAGTAGAAATTGAAGAAGCAGAGAATAACCGGACTGTTAAAACAACTGATGATTGGTAGTTTTTACACTTGAGGGCTCTGGTGGAAACGCGTGCAGGTGTTTCCAAACCCTTTCTGTGTTGCTTCAACTGAGTTTTTTGTTCTCACATCAGTTTTGCTGCGTGGTGAACCTTAGAGAATATTGTCTTTTCATGATGGAGAAGCAGATTTGTTGCATGGCTGCATGAGAACTGTGTAAACTCATTACGAAGTAACCGTTACAACGGTGTTATTTATAAATGCGTTAAACTGGACGGAAGCCAATGTTCTGCGTGTAAACATAGCTACCAAACAAAGATGTCTGCTACAAGCCAATCACAACGCTGGTGCTGCTCCGTCACTCCTACACATCACATTTGTCTTTCACTCCGTCGCTCCTGCTTCTCTTATGCTGCTTTGACTACATTTCCCACCCACGCCGATGAGGACGGTCTTCCCCATGGGGGGAAACATCTCTCTGCTGTGTGTGTGGGTGTGTGTGTGAGAGAGAGAGGTGTTTGGATATGTGCTTTCTGATTCTAATTTTGGAGAATGACAATCTGATTTTTTTTTGTCTTGATTTCCTGGTGTGACTTATTTTTATATCATTTTGTATTTCTACTCCACAGTTTTTGGTTTTCTCCTCGTGTGATACAGTTCTGTTACTCATTAGTTTATATTTAATACAGATATACATATTTTTTGTATCTTTTTCCCCCTTTTTTTCAGTTTCACTAATGGTAAAAATCCATGAATACACAGTATTATATATGTAATTTCAACAGGTATCTCTTTTTTACATTATGTATGAACAGTGAAATTGTATAAATGCTTTAATTGTTGTTCTGGTTGTGTGTAAAATGTATGTATAAATTAAATTAACCAACTCTGACTTGTGTGCATTCATATAAAAACATCACACTGAAGCTGCCATTGTATTAGATGTGCTTATCATCCAAAAAGTTGGTTTAAAATATTAGTTGTAAACTGATCATGAAATATTCACTGTTTATTCGTTCCAAACATGGGCATAGGTCAAACAGGAAGTGACAATCGTTTTTATGAAGAGTTCTACTAAACCTTTTTATTGTTTGTTCTTACGTTTTTTTTTTTTAGCTCTAATGAAAATCTGAATTGGTAACAAAACTTCTGTTCATGATAAAGCGCGGTTTTATGGGTTTTAGTCCGACTACGCTTTTTATAAACCCGGTTTATGCTAATGAACAGATGTTAGCCGAAAAAGGTACCCTTGCCGTGGGAAGAGCCTTACGCATTTCATGAGAATATATACCCCTTGGTATTCTTGATAAGAAAAGTTTCAGACACGGTCAAGGAAACGAGGTGTCTTGCTCATGTTTGAAACATGTGTATTATGAAAGTAAACTGATAAATGTGACCCACAAAGCGAAAACTGCCTCGAAATGACTTTTCCCGCGCCGAGGGGTGAGTTTTTGTTGGTGATGGTGCTTTTTCCGGCACAACAGCATCCAAGCAGCGGCGCGATCAGGTCACGTGACGAGAGCGCGTGGCGCGTCATTGGAAAGGGACGATGATGGCGGCGCTCGGTGCACCAGAAGTGATCACACAACTGGAAAATGCTGCTAAAGTTTTAATGGTGAGAAATTCATTCTTGTTTTACAGACACCGCGGGGATACCGCACACATTTTAACCCCGTTTCTGGTGGAGTTTGGCGGTCAGGGATTCTCTAGGGTGTTTAGTTATAAATGTTTTCATGTTAGTAACGGCTGTGAGCGATGTGTGGCGCAGCGCCTCGCTTGGCTCCATCCCGAAAGAGGAAAAAAAAACTACATAAAATCCACTTTTGTCCTCCAGTTTCAACAGCTCTGTATTTATCTTCACATTTCGTCCATCCTTTACATTTAGCCCACGACTGGACGCTTTTAAAGCGATTGTCACTTGGTTTTCCAGAAAGTTCAGCCGTTCTGCGCTTATTTGGTTAAATCAAGTTTTCTGGACTCTCGTCTCCATATAAACACACGGATTGGGTTTGCTCTGGTAGCTTTAGCTCATCACCTCCTTATACCTCATTAGCTCCCCATTAGCCCATCCGCTGGAACAAACTAGACCCTAAAACCGGCCCAGAGCAGGTAGCTAGCCATGTGTGGGATGATGTAGCTCTTTTATGATCTTGATGCTGGTTTGAAACTAAAACTCAACTTTCTAATAATGAAACGATGAGAAAAGCTGCTTTTGTTTGTCGTAGGAAGATGAGCTTCTGTTTAACTTATTCAAATGCAGCAACTGTCTTTACAGTGAGTCCAACTCCTCATCAGTGAGATTTAGTTAATCTGTAGAAAAGCATGATGCTGGGTACAGCTGTGTGTGAAGTGTATCATAAGATGTACTTTCAACTTCCCTTTGAGAATATTCTCATCGAGCTGGCCATGAGATCAGTTATTGCAATGCATTTATTTATTACAGATGTCAGCTTTCTAGTAGATCTTTACTTGGTGAATCTACACAATTAAATACAATTTAGTTAATCTCCTTTGAGAGAAAATGCAAAAAGTTATGTGGAGCTTTATAGAGCTTCATGTGGTTTATTCAGGTGATTTTAATTGTTTTGTGCAGTCAGAACACATCACTACTACCATGTTGGATTGGAACTTCAGGTCAACCGATATTGGTTTGGATGGTCAGCCCATGCCCAGCATCTAGACATTTTCCACCTTATTTTCATGCTAAATTGTAAAAACATCAGCTGATGCACCAGATTTGTGAAGCTGAATCACCTTTTGAATTAAACTAAATGTTCTATCTTAAAGATGTAGCCGAGGATGTTTCTGAATTTCAGGAAAGAACCACCCTCTCCTCGTTTTGGGGGGGAAAAAATGCACATGAGAAAGAACGTCCAGTTATCCTCGTTACAAGTAGCTGCCGGCTTTGCAGCCAACATCTTCTTCTAGCTGTAATCTAAATTTAATTTCTCCAAATAGTATGCCAAACTTTAGCTTACCCGTCGAGCAGAAAACCGGCGACGGAGACATCTGTGGGGAGCCCAACTTTCGCTCTGTGCATGCGCAGGAAGTGAAAACTACCCAGCAACTTACGACGACGGCCTTGCGTTAATGGTTCACCAGAAATGATTGACAGTTAAGAGTACAGGTGGTTCAGATGATCCACCTGGAAGAAAAAGTTCCTTTGCTATACTTTTTAACTTTGTGCACTGCTCAGTGTTAAAGTCAGACACTTGAATAAAGTTAATTTAGAGCATTTATTATGCAGATGTTATCAATGAACATAAATATACTTCTAAATAAAAAATTTGCAACTGCACTGGGCTGCCCAAAGACATGCCCGACTTTAAATTGACGTTACTGAGGACAAATATTGGCCAATGTATAGAAAATGGTAAATATCTGCACATTATGTCAGCCGACCGATATATGTATATATATATATATATATTAGGGATGTAAGAAAATATCATGATGGCAATATATCGTGATATTTTTCCCAGCAATATTATATCGATATTCAAAAGCCGTGTATCGGAAATATCGATATGGCAATATATCGTGATATTTTTTCCTGAGATTATTACATCGATATTCAAAAGCTGTGTATCTAATTCCTGAAAGAATTTACATGCAAACATTTGTGTATTTTCTTTTCGTTTTGCGCAATTCAATCGCCACCCGCTAGTTGGCAGCAGTGTGCAACAAGTTTTGTTTCCACCACTGAAATGTAAATCCCTCCATCATGGTTCAGATACCTCATGTTAAACATGTTACGTATCAGTTTGGACTGTTTATTGAACATTCTTACAATAAATTCAGTAAAAAAAATGCTTGTAACGTCTGACTGAATGTATCGCAATGTATCGTGATATATCGTATCATCTCCCCTGTATCGTGATATGTATCGTATCGCCAGAATTTCAAAAATACACATCCCTAATATATATATATATATCCCTAGTTGGCATTATAAGACAGTAGGTGTTGATCTGAAGATTTGAGGTGTGTAACAACTTCATTCACCATATCAGAGAGGAAGAGGAAAATCTCTACTTTTTACAGTGTTTGTGATATTGGGCTGCATGGTTGAGCAGTGGGTGACACTGTGGCCTTGCAGAAAGTAGGTTGGAGGTTCAAACCTCGACTGCTGTCGTTCTGTGGGGAACTGGTATACTCTCCCCGTGCATGTATGGGTTTTCTCTGAGTGCTGACACCAAATTGTCCCTAGGTGTGGGTGAGTGTGTGAATGGTTGTTGTTGGACTCTGTGTCCCTGTGATGGACTGGAGACCTGTCCAGGGTGTCCCCAAAGATACTGACTGAGACTCAGCCACATTTGCTCTTTCTGCTAATTGATCAAAGATCTGGAAAACAATAAATCTCATGTTGACTCTTGACTGATAACATAGATGACCACAACAGCCAGAAAACACGTGTCACAATAATACAGTGCATCATTTTGTTCTGCTTACCATGCATGGTTTGGGTGGGTTTTGTAGCTTTGTGCTTGATGAGTGTGGTGGTTTTAGGCCGATACATTCTGTGGACCGGAGAGATGTCAGTTTTTATTAATCTATCAAAAGGATAACATGAAGTTTTCCCTCACTGAAATAACTGGTACAGCTGGTCTCTTAAACTCTGTTTTAGATAAAAAGCATTACAAAACTATTTTTATTTGATAGCAGATTACACCCGCTTCAGGTTATTAGGTCCTTCTGATAATAGTTTAGGACATGTCACGTTTAGGTTGAGGTGTGCATTTGTTGTGTGTGTGTGTGTGTGTTGGGGGGGTAAGGCCGTTTCTGCTGTCTTCAGCCACAGAGCTGCTCCTATGTGTAATTAGGTCTGGAATGTGACTTTCCTGCTGAGCGGTATCATGGAGACGCTCCTCCATAAAAATCTGGGTTGTTCTGTTTTTCATTCATGGTGTATTTGATCTGGTTTGTATTTTATTATTATCAGAGAGTTTCTGATATGTTTTGTTGTTACTTTTAATTACAAGGGAGACAGGAGATGTTTGAGAGTGGAAAACAAGCTCCGGTGCTGTTAGCGTTTTTCTTTGAACCGAATCATAAATGCTTGCCGCGCTCGGCATGCTGTCCTATTTTAAGACAGGGCTTCTATTGAGAGGTGGTTTTGTGTTTAAAACAATCATTTAACTTGTTTGTGCAGGCGCCTGCTGTTTTCAAAATATTTTCCATGAGGTTTAAGGAACATAGCTTTCTACATGAGTAGTGTCTCAAAAATACTGGGTGTACATTTTCACTTCAGTGTTTTAGCCACCTGCATCAATTCCCTGGGAGTTTTGTTTCTCCCACACTCCTCTAATATAGCACTCAGAGCAGAGTACATGGAGCTGGGTTTAGTTTGTGGAACACCACAATATTATAATACAAACTGTTGTACGGTATCGACGTTTGCTTTAGTTTCATTTGTAGTTCATAATACACGGTCTCCTCATCAGAGTTATTCCAGAGGGCGTAGAAGAGGATTAGGAGTACATGGAGCTCGGTTTGTTTTTGCATAATTTAAAAACAGTTGTTGTTAAAGGTTTTCATAATGAACAATATTATACAACACTACGATGAAAAAATACAAACAGTTGTATCATGATATTTATCAAATATGGTTATATATTGGAAAAATAATATATGTAATTAAATAAGTGATTTAAAAAATTATTAAACACTCGAAAGTATCAAAAATTTGTACCGTTAAGTACCGGTATCGATTCTTAGGTACCGGGAATTGGCACAGTATCGATTCAAATGTCAAAGGTACCCATCCCTACTGGGGACGTAACAAGTGGGCGTGGTGCGTCGACTACCGCATTTGACATTGATGATTTTTTTAGAACGGAAGTAAATACTCCCAAAAATGTATAAACTGGTTCTGTAAAAGAATAAACACTACAGGCCTTCCATTTTGTATAACAGCACATTTATTTTGTTGAGGTGTGTTGTGTTCTGGTGACATGAAGAGCTTGGAAGTGCAGGCTGCTGAGCCTGAGAGGTGGTTTTGTTCTCCATGCTGCTCTGTTTGGTCAGTCACGTTCGTGTTACAACCCTTCCATTCCTGAGGAGTTTGGCTCATGTGCAAAAAGGAATGCATAATTATCCATAATCGGCTTACCAAAGATGTCCCACTAATAAAACTGGTCGACGATTACTTTCTTAAAGACAAAAATAAGGATCGCAAAAGGTACAAACTCAAACTGGGTGGTTAAACCAAACTCAAGGCAATATTTTAAACTAAACGAATAACCCACAGCAGTCACCAAAAGGGATATCTGCTCCACACAAAAGATGTACTCTAAACCAAAACATACGATCCAAACACAAGAAGCTACAAAAATGCTAACAGTAGCTTTACCAACGCTGAGCTCAAGTAGGCAAGTTTACTTTAACCAAAAAGACCCAACAAACAGACCGGCGTGTAGGAGAAACTGCTACTGCAAAAACAGTTCTTCTTGAATGTCTGAAAGAAGCTCCCGTATGAAGGGAGAAACGCTAATCCCTTTGATTTTCCTACAGACGAAGCAGCAGCTTTGACTCTGGAAGTTGTTGTCCGTTGCCGGGCGACCGAGGCGGCCCAAACAAGAAGGGAATCTGGTAGTGGACATTGTTCCAGGTCTT